CGCCGACCCACCGTGACAAAATAGGAAAAACCAAAAGCTCGAACCTTCCGTTCCTATACCACCTCAAAAAGCCGGCCGAGCGGCCCGCTGCCTCGAGCCTTCCATACGTGCCTCCGCAGGAAATAAAGAAAAAAAAAAGTCTGTCTATCAATAACCATGTTTTATGTAATTTCAACACATGATTTTTTAAACCATAGAATTAAGAGCCAACAGCCTTCACCCTCCTTCTACCTCTAGCCTCCAGTCTTCTTCTACCTCTAGACAATCATAAATCACAAGATCACAGATCCACAGATCACAAGAAACAATTTTTTTCTATAGAAAGACAAATCACAGATAGTAGAGGAGAAGGAGAGACCTACTGGAGGCACAGTGCGGGCACAGCTTGGTCCAGCCAGCGGCACGGTGCGGGCAAACGTTGTAGGCTTCCGAAGCACAGTGCGTGCGGCACGGCACTGGAGGCACGGTGCGTGCTTACGTTGCGGAGCGGGCGGCGTACGTTGCAGAGCAGGCGGGATCGGAGCCAGCAAGGACGCGGGTGGGATCAACAGAACGGAGGGAGAGATTGAGAAAATTCATGTATTTTTTCCGTTAAAACACATGTGTGTTGTATAGCATTTCTGAAAAAAAAACTTCCTCGACGGCTCCGGCACACGTTCCTTCTGCCGTCGCGACCTCCGTAGCATAGCGTTTCGTCGGCCCCTAACCCACGACATCAGCCAATGGCGCGGCGTCCGATAGGGGCGCAGGCGCCGCCTCGGCGGGCCGATGGGAGCGGCAGCGGCGCTGGGGTGGTTCCACGCCCAACGGGCCCATGGGAGCGGAGGCGGCGCCTCGGCCAAGGGCGTGGTGTCAGCGACGGCTGTGGCTGGCGACCGCGACCGCGACCGACGATGCCCTGTGTCATGGTGCCACTGCTGCTGCCCACGGGCCACGGGAGGAGCGCCACCGCGCGCACGCCGTTCGCGGTTGCGAGCATAGGGCCCATTGCTCCCCTTAGCTGTTGACGCGATGCGAATCTGCACTCGAGGAAAACCTAGCCGCCATTTTCGCTCGGGTTACGCCATTTTCGCTTGGGTTATAAGGCGTAATTTTTCAGCCAACGAGTAATATTTTTCTCTCATAATAAATTAATCAACGGTTCTTTCAATCATAGCTTATCAGCTCAGCGAACATGGCATTAGTTCTCACGCAATCACCCTCCTCGAACGTCTTTGCATCCTTTTGCTGCTGAGCATTCTTTGATACTAGCAGATCTGCCTTACTCATCAGGGAGCTTCTTCTTTGCAGGAAGTGGAAGATGCTCACCTTCTTCGTCCGCCATAAAAGAAATCGTGGCAATTTTAGTATCTCCACGTTCATAAATCCTTTGGCATACCTATTGTTACTTGCCTCATTAGTTTTTTCCCCCTAAAATTATCAAATATAATCTATCCCATGGGGGTCTTCTGATTTTGCCTCTTTACTTAAGGATGGACACCTGATCGCTGACTGGTTTGCTTTGTGGATGATGATCACGGGTGGAGTGGACCTTTCTTACTGTTACGAAAGCTGTGAAGTAACACAGTTACTTATTTGCTGAGTTTTGTAAGGTGGTGTTTGGTTGCTCCTTCTAAATTTTAGTTGTTGTTTCATCGAATGTTTGGACACATGCACGGAGTATTAAATATAGACTAATTACGAAACTAATTGCATAGTTTACGACTAATTTGCGAGACGAATCTTTTAAGCCTAATTAGTCCATGATTTGATAATGTGGTGGTACAGTACATGTGCTAATGACGGATTAATTAAGCTTAAAAAATTCGTCTCACAGAGTACTGACGGATTATGTAATTTGTTTTTTTATTAGTATCCAAACACTCTATGCAACATCCTCCTGACACATCTCCTAAATTTTAGTCACTATATCCAAACACCACCTAAGTTGTGCATCTACAGAATCGAGACAAATGATAACTGCGCAGTACTTTCATAGCAGGTGTCAGGTTCGAGAGAGTGGGTACAGATCAAGGTGGTGTTCGGTTTCGGTTCGGTTCCCTCGGTTATTGATGAAATTCAGTTCATAGAAAACAGGAACCGATCGGTTTCAAAAATTTTTAGGAACCGAGCATTTCGGTTCTCGGTTATTTCGGTTCGGTTCTGGTTCTAACCGAATTTTTTCAGAAGACATCAAGACAATAATAAATATACTTGTTCTAAGGCAAATTTATGTAACACTATATTCATTTTTAATAGTAATAATATATAAGAAAATAATAGCAATATAGTAACACAAATATATAGCAGTTCAAATATAAAACACCACACATAATCCAAACATAGTCCTACAAAATACAAGTAAGTGAAGTATAATTTATGTAATTCGGTTCTTTCGGTAGGAACCGAATTTTCTCTGGTTATTTCGGTTCCTCAATATCAGGAACCGAATAAGGAACTGAATTTTTCGGTTCCGGTTTCGGTTCTTTCGGTTTCGGTTCTAGTTCTTTCGGTTCGGTTTTTGATTTTCGGTTAAATTTGCCCAAGGCTAGGTACACACTCAGCCTGTTCGTTTGCTCGTATACGATCGTGGATTATAAGCTGGAACAATATTTTTCTCTCACATCAAACCACCCAGCAGTAAATTATCCACGATCGTTTACGACGAAACGAACAGACTGACTTTTACAAGGAGGGGAGGAGCCACGTGAACAAGAAGCCTATTCTTCTTAAAGATAATTATGGAGTTCCACTCATCTCTCCGATGAATGAACATTCCAAAAAAATGGTCACACACAGTTGTGACCAAGGTTTTAGGATGGGGTGAAATGGATTTCTATCTGCTTTGAACAAATTCCGCAAGAAAACCAAGATGTTGTCCGATCCTACGTGGATGCAGAGGCTCCAACCTACTCCTGGGGCAACTGGTACTATGCTTTAAACTACCAAGAACTCCATTTTTGGCCTTCGAACTACCAGACACCCTTGGCTCCTTTATTTAGCTATTTTGAAGCTCATTTTTTCTTCCATGCCGAATACAACAAGCTGCATCTCCTTGGATTTCCAAATATATTGTCAATTAAAAAACTTACGTTTTGTCGATGTCCGACCACTGAACTGTATGTTGCATAGTTTTGTCGCCTCTCTTGCCGTTTCATTTTTATGTGCTTATTTGTTTCCTAAATGACATTTATCTCGTGGCTTCTCTTAGGCTTCTCTTTTCCTACCGTACCTTCGATTTGGCTCCGTTGGCTTCGCTAAAAAAATAAGTCGAAATACTGTTCCGGTTGATTTATTATGAGAGAAAAATAATATTCTGAATGAAAAAAGACTGATTTGTTAGATGTTTTACAATACATCCCAGTTTAAAGTATTTTAAGTTTGCAACAGCCACGTTGTATTTTATGATGACAAGATTGTGAAATGTTAATACATCTGAGAGGCGCCACTATCTATAAATACTAATGTGTCAAATGTATTCTGCTGTTTTAACGAGTAAAGTTACGTGCTACTGCTTATAAGCCCGCGTAGTTGCGCAGGGCTCCTGCTCGGTCTGTTCGCTGGGTCATAAACGATCGTAAATTTTCAGTTAGAACATTATTTTTTTCTTACACCAAATCAGCCATTACTAATAATATCGTTTCAGCCCCAGCCAGCAGTAATTATAGCTGGTTCTTCCGGCTGGATTGGGGTGCCGACTGCCGACCACTGTGCCATCCGTGCGCTGCCGCTGGTTGCTGGCTGTGGGACGCAAGACTTCTTGTGTTGTACCGTCTGCAAGTGCAACCCCTCGTCAATAAATACAAGCCTTAATTCTGTCGAACCACCGTGCACTGTTTTCATTCCTATGCAAGTGACATTAACATGATTTAAATTCAAGTTTTAGCCAATAGCATAGTACTAGAAAAATTCCTCAAAGAAAACCCACCGGGCCCAAAATCCAACTTTGCAGTGCGGGTTGGGTGATGCCAGGAGAGTGGGGTTTCCCGTTTCCAGCAACAGGAATGCAAGATGCTGCTGTAGCCTGTTGCTCTTTTTTTTTTTTTTTTTTGACAGATAAGTTATAGCTGGAGTACTGCTAACGGATACGTGACCAGAGAAAAATACTATTCTTTCACGGAAAATACTGTATCGTCAACATTTTACGCAAGCTGGCGGCAGGAGAGGAGACCGGAGAGGGGGCTGCTTCTGCTTGCGTAGTTGCGTCTGAGGGCCTGAGCCTGACCTGATGTACTGGTACTACTCTACCGTGTGGTTGAGCAGAGCCGCACTGCAGCTTTCCTTAAACAAACATTTTTACCGTACCCCGCTCTTTATTCTGCCCCCAACGCCCCTCCTCCTCTGCCCTCCACCGGCCATGGCCTTCGCCTCACGCGGTCACACCCTCACCTCACCACCTCGGCGCCCAACAAAAAACCAGCAGGAGGGACAGAGAGCGAGGAGAAAGACAGCAGCAGCCAAAGTTGGAGGAGACCCAAGGCAGACGGCACCCAGGCAGTCGCAAAGCAAAGGAAAGGAGGGAGCTTTGCTTCTGGGCCGACGGGCTCACCGCCTGACCGCCTGAGCCGGGCATTTGGGCGTCCCACCCCCACCCCGCGCGGGTGTGTGTGAGTGAGAGAGAGAGAGGCGAAAAAGCGGTGCCTCATCACGGTCGCCCGCCTGCTCGGCCTCTTCTTCTCCCTCCCCTTCCTGTCTCTGCGTCGCGTTGCGGTTGTGCGCACCTGGTCGTTCTCGGTTTCCTCTCCAGCCGTCCTCCCGCTTCCCTTTTTCTTCCCGGCCGCTCTTGGCATCTTGCTCTCCGGCCTCTTCCCTGCCACGCCCGCCCGCCCTTCTTGCTCATTGCTCCTCTGTTCCCCGCCGGGCCGCTCCTCAGTGCGGCCGCTTCGCGTCCCCTTGATTCCACTTTCCACCCGCCGACTTGTATGCGTCCGGCGCGGCGGCGGCGGTTGGTGCTGTGACTGTGACTGGCTCGCGGCAGGGCGAGGGATTCCGTCAGGCCTCAGGAGCCGCCGGCATTGTGCATGGAGGGTGAGGAGGACAGCTCCGGCACCGCGGTGCAGCGCCCGCCGCCGCCGCCGCCGCAGCAGCAGATACGGGTGGTGCGCTGCCCCAAGTGCGACAAGCTCCTGCCGGAGCTGCCCAATTACTCCGTCTACGTCTGCGGCGGTTGCGGCGCCACGCTCCAAGGTTGGTGCATCCCCCCCTCACCTTTTTTCGTCTGCAATCACTCCCTTCCCTACTACTTCTCTCCTGTTCTTATTGGGGCATCCTTGTCTTTGTAGTAGTACCTTTTTCTTCTGAGCTCTACCCATTCCACCTGCATTTTTGTTGCATTAGATCAGCAAGCTAATTTCGCTGGGCTGAACTTTGCTGAAACTCGCTGAAAAAATACTGTTTCGACTGAATTGTTGTGAAAGAAAAACACAGTTCTGGCTGAAAAAATAAGCCGAACAAACCAAAATTTAAGAAAAGCGAAGGAATAGGCCACAAAAAAGAGATTCTTGTCGACAAACACATGATTAATTTTTGAAATGGGCTCGTGGGGACTTCTGTTGCTGGGTTGGGCGGTTTCCTGGGACGCGGATATGACCAGCTCGTTTCGTCCTCTTCTGAGTTCCGAAAGATTCCATTTTCTTTCTCAGGTTTCCTTTTGCTTCTACGCAATCTTGTTTAAGTATCTCTTTTCTTTTGATCCCCATTATTGTCATATGCTCGTTCCTTCTTTTAGGCCTCCCATGTTGTATTCGCAACTTCCTCCGGATTTGGCGTGCATCCTGACACACTTGGTACGATGGCGTATTGGCATTTACTACACACAGCCTGTTCGCTAGGTCGTGTTTGGACTTATAAGCTATAGGCCTTGTTTAGTTGGACCTCAGTCTAAAAAGTTGCTACAGTACCTGTCACATCGAATGTTTGCTATTCGTGCCTGGAGCATTAAATGTAGACGAAAATAAAAACTAATTACACAGTTTGGTGGGAAATTGCGAGACGAACGTTTTGAGTCTAATTAGTCCATGTTTGAATAGTATTTGCCAAATAAAAATGAACGTGCCACAGTAACCTCCAAATCCAAATTCACCCAACTAAACAACTAAACAAGGGCATAGCTTATATTTCATACCAAATCAGCCTAACGGTCCTTCAGCCATGCAAGCCCAAGAACATCTTGCCGTCAACTCTTTTTTGCAGTAATTTTGCGACAAACCTGGTTTCTTTAACATCTTGCCGTCAAAATTTCAGTACCCAAATAACTGGAGTTCGTAGGCTATTTCTCCTCCTTCCATCCCCATCCCCATCCCAGCCTTTTTTTTTTTATCAAAATTACAAAGGCTATCTTGTGGGACATTCCCCTTGGACCTTGGTACAAGTTTCTGTTGATTATTTTTTTAATGTCTTGAACAAGAAGGGTACCTTGTTTAGAATTCTTTGGATCGTATCACTTTTATGCCTCAGAGCATGGATCATTTCTGTGGAGGTTTTTGTGGTTCACTATGATTGTCACTTCTACATATTTCTTTGGACACAGAAAATGGCTGTGGCTAGCAACAGGGATGGTCTAATTTCTTGTTTCAAAGAATCTCCTGTCATTTTAAAATATATGAAAATGATTGGAACCAACTATTTAAACTAGTTCACCTGCAATTCTGTATTCCCTCTTCAATTTTTTGTTAACATTCGCCACTGTTTGGTGATTCTTTCCTGTCTTTGCTGTTGCACAAATTTGACCTTAAGATTCAGTGTTGATGGACAAAGTTTGTTATGGAGGTGGTTGTAAGTTTGTGCAAATTCTTGGATCCTCGATTACTCGTTCTTTGTTTTCAAGACTTGTTCTTTGTAAATGTTCCGTTATTTCCAATGATTAGCTGAATGTTTCTGTTATGTCTATTCTCATGGTCACTTTTTTCCCCATCAACCTTTCGCAGCAAAGAACAACTCAGGATCTGATGCTTCTTCAGACACTGAGCATGTGAAGTACCTTGAAGTGCTTGAGAGTTTACCAGATAAGAAAGGGGCAGCATCTGAAGCTAGTTGTGCTGTTCGAGAAGCAGACACCAATAAAGTCGAAGCTAGGTCAGAAGAGAGATTTGTACCTAACAGAATGGTGGCCGCTGCACATAGCCAATCTGGATTCAGTTTCGATAATAACCAAACTACTTGTGCACCCAGCTGCACCATGAAGCTTGAACATGCACTTAGAGATGACAGCAGGGAAGTTCGAGAGGCAAAATACCGCCGCATTCGTCATGAAGAGAAAGGAGAAGCAAAGTGGCCAGCAAGGGTTAGAGACAGATCACCAAGGCCTGTGGTTAACAGCATCCCTTCTAATGCTTTTCCAGTAGAAGGGCCATCTGAGTGTCGTATGATACCGGGATTCATATTTGCTAACGGTGAGAAGGGCAATCTGAGTGACAGGAATTCAGATGGTCCTAGCACCAGAGTCAGTGGCCTTGAGAAAGACCGTAGTGAGCTTCTGCAGATGCTTGATGAGTTGCGGGACCAGGTACAGAGATCCTGCGAGATTGCTGACAAGTCAAGTGTGAATGCTTCGACAAACAGAATGGTGGATCCTGCAAGCTGCTACAATCCTCATGAGCGTCTGAGTCGATTGCGGTATGGTTCACCTCAGTTGCAACGGAATGGTTCTCAGCGCTCACCTTCTTTGAATGGGCAGGCGCCTGTTGTTCCTCCTGCTTATCCTTCAGTATCTGTACAGCAAGATCTCCATGGATACGGGGAATCGGTTGCACACATGGGAGCTCCTAGCTACCCAGCCGCCCCATATCCATGGAGAAACTTTGATAATTATTTCCATGGACAGTATGATCCTGACCCTCTGATCTCTTATCACCATGACGGCTTCTACCATCAGCCTGCTTGCTCTTGTTTACATTGTTACCATCGTGAATTCTTACCTGTTCATGGGGCTCCATTGGGTTTCAACCATCGCAGGGCACCGTATCTTATGGACAATCCTAGCTTGTACCCTGTAGAAGGCCCAGTTGTGTTTGGTGCACAGAATTACAATTCAAGAGGCATGAATGGTATGATGCGACGCAATCACATGAGGGCCACCCTGAGCAAAAAAACTGCACAGACTTGTGAACCAATTGTCAATGGTGCCCCTTTTACCATATGCTACAATTGCTATGAAGTGCTGCAGTTTCCCAAGAATTCTCTCTTGTTGGGAAAAGATGAGTATAAGCTGCGTTGTGGGTCATGCTCACATGCAATAGTGGTCAGACTTAATGGAAGCAGGCTTGATGTTTCAGCACCTACACCAATTTCACACTTATCACCTGGAAGTAAAAATTGCTCTAACATTGGCCAAGGAAGCAATGGACAAAATGCTGATGAGAGACTTCTTCCATCTTATAGTTTTTCTGTAGGCAGTCATTGCTCTCAAGAAAAAGATTTACCATCTAATTCAAGTGAAGCAGACAAAATGCAATGCATATCATCTTCTGTCTGCATTTCTGATGATGATAATAGCCCAGCTAGATCTAACTCACAGAAGAACTCCTCTGGTTCTAGAGATCTTCCTCCTGATGCTGAAGTGGTTATCTGTGTTCCAAGTTTACCTCTTCGTGATCATTTTGGATATTCGCCATCAGAGAGGGTGGTTGATGGGTCAGGCAAAGGAAGCAGAAGTACCCGGTCTGAACATGAAAAGGGTGTGTTAACTGAAAGTTTTAAGCCAAACAAAGTGAAAGATGTACCTGTAGCAAGCGTGCTAGACCCGTCAGATGATGAGTATGATGATCCTGAGTACAGTCAAGATCCAGGTGATGGGGCACAATATGTCGACCACCCGAGGGCCACAAAATCGGGCGATTCCTTTTTCTCCAGCCTGATAAAGAAGAGCTTTAAAATTAACGGTGGAATGGGCAATGGCAGAGCAAAGGTCTTCATCAATGGCTATCCCATTTCTGATCGTGCTTTGAGGAAGGCAGAGAAGATTGCTGGACCAATCTATCCGGGTGAATACTGGTATGATTTGTGCCTTCTGTATGCATTTGATTTTTAAGTTTCCTGGTAACATTGTAGTTCTGCTGTAGGGTTCTGTAGTGGTCTTTAGCTGGAATGTTATTTGACATTTTATTCTTGTATCCTGTAGGTATGACTACCGTGCTGGATTCTGGGGTGTTATGGGACAGCCCTGCCTTGGCATGATACCCGTAAGAGAGCTTTTACTTGATTTTTTGTGTTATCGCACCCTTAGTCATATATCAAAGCTTTTAACGTGGTCTCCTTGTTGCAGCCATATATTGTGGAATTTAACTATCCTATGCCTAAAAACTGTGCTGGCGGAAATACTGGTGTGTTCATCAATGGCCGAGAACTTCACCAGAAGGACTTGGATTTACTTGTGGGTCGAGGGCTTCCCGATTCTCCTGATAGATCATACAGAGTTGAGATTTCTGGTAAAGTATTGGATGAAGTATCTGGTGAAGAGCTTTATTGCCTTGGCAAACTTGCACCAACGTAAGTAACTTAAAGAAGCTTCAGATTCTTCAGTTTTTGTTTGCTTTGGAGTTCCCTTGTTGTGTAAGTGAGCGCTGTTCAATTCTTGAGCTGCTGCATCACTGCATGTTCATACCCAGTCGATTACTCTTATGACTTAATTGACACTTGTTTCATAGATCATCTAGTAGGAGTAACAAAATAAGCAAGTACATGGGTTCTTGTATGTTGCTACCTGTTTGAGCTAGTAAAATTCATAGACATGATGCTCAGTGTAGGTCTGAGTATATTTGATCCAACTCATATTTTGTAATTGCCATTGGAAAACAGGGTGGAGAAGATGAAGCGCGGGTTTGGGATGCGAGTTCCAAGGATCATTCAGTGAAATTGGTTCACATCGAGAAGCAGAGGCTCTGAAATTTGTGTGCCGCCACGTCTTTGTGGTATTAGATTGCTAATGTAACCCTCTGCCTGGAATCGTTGCATGTCGTAGAGGTTGTTTTGATCGAGTGTGTCATGGTGTGACCATGTAATTTTGTCTGTGGATTGTTGAAGCTTCTCAATGCAAGTTGTCTGTTGTGTATGTAGTCTGTGAACTCCCTTATCTAAAAAAAATGGAGTCCATGAACTTACTGCTCCTGTTAGTGTCTGTGAAGGGCTTGGGCCAATTCAAGTGCGAGCTGCTAAATGTGCTTTTAGTTCTGCATTAATGGCCCAAACATGGATACTTCCTTTTTCTTGGGCCCAAGACCAGTTGGTTGTACATACGGCCGCAGCCTGCAAGAGGCTGCAAGGCCATTGTGTGCAGTCCAGCCCCAGGCACTTAATTCCACGGCCTGTTTTATTTAGTGTGCCGTTGGTCCACGGGGTTGGGCGAATTGGTAAATTCAGTTGGGTTATTACATCGTTTCGTTTTACAGTAGGGCTGGAATTGTACATGTTTCCATGGAACGATGGAATTGTCAGATGGGCAAATTCTTATTTGATGCGTGTGTTCCGGTACTATTATTGACACGACGTCTTCCTCGTGAAACCCCTTGTTTAGGGGAGGGCAGTGGGCGCGTGGGGCTAGGCGAGTGGGAGGCGGATGGAGCGGTGTGGTGGCGGGCCACGAGGCGGGGTAGATGGCCTAGGGTTTGAGATTGGGGAAATCTCCAACATCCGGCCACGAGGCGGGGCAGATGGCCTAGGGTTTGAGATTGGGGAAATCTCCAACATCCTATGACTCTAGATAGATGGCTGGGATGGCGAGAGGGCCAACAGTGGTGGCAGGTTGCTGGCGGTGATCGAATGAGGTGTGGCCAAACAAGCGACTGAGGACATCTCGTTGGGTGGAGTCAGTGGCAGGGGCGAGAGTCATCGACGAGGTGTCTGATTAGGATTAGTGAAGGACGAGGAAGGTCGAGAAGGATGCGGGTGACAGGGCGGTGATCGATTGGGTCGCCGGCGGCTAGGGCGGTGCTTGAGGGAGGAGATAAGTGGGCGCGAACAGAGCAGAAGAAGACTGCGCGTAACCTTCCTAATGCACACGCTGATTAAAGATACTTGCCCGATGGGAACGGGATCCCTCGCGGACGCATCCTTCCCGAAAGCCTCGGCAAACCCGTGCACCAAACGCCGGCAAGATCCAATCATCGCCATCCATTTCAGATTTTCAGTGAACCAAACGATGGGCTCTGCCCATTCACATCGCACACCGCAAACGTTAGGGAATTCAAAACAGAAAATATACAGAATCCAAATACGAAAGGCAATCACTAGTAGGCATGCCATGCACCTTCCTGGCAGCTTCCCTCCGCCTCTGGCCCCACATGCCAGCGACTCCGTCGGCTAGCCGTTGCACTCGCCCCCACGCGCCGACGTCACCTGTCGTTCAAATTTCAAAAATTCCGACCGTTAGATGCTCCCGCTCCCCTTCTGCTCCTATATAAAAAACAAATCGGAGACCAGGTCACCGACCACACACCACCATCTCGGCCTCGTCGACGACGCCTACTCGGTCGCCCTCTCCCTCGGTCCCTCTCCGGCTCCAAACCCCATCCATGGCGACCGCCGCCGCGGCAGGGAGCAAGAGGGGCGGCGCCCGGGGCCGCAAGGCGCTCGTGGCCGTGCTCGACAACGAGGCCAACATCTCCGCCGGGAAGGCCGCCGCCCAGGCCGCCGACCTCTCGGCCTCCTCGGCGCAGAAGAAGGCGAAGCGGGCGCCGGCAAGGAGCGGCAAGGCCAAGGCCAAGGCCGCGGCGCCAGCGGTCGTGGACGACGTCGCCGAGCTGCAGGGGATGCTGGAGCGGCTGCGGCTGGAGAAGGAGAAGGCGGAGGAGATGGTGAGGGAGCGGGACGAGGTCATCCGGAAGAAGGAGGAGGAGATCGAGACCAGGGACAAGGAGCAGGGGCGCCTCCAGGCCGAGCTCAGGAAGGTGCAGCGCGCCAAGGAGTTCAAGCCCACCGTGGTACGTTCACATTCAAGATCGGGACCTCGTCGCGGTTCTCTGCATTCGAATTCGTCTGATTGATTCATGATCTGATATGATAAATATGATTTCTTCTGCAGAGCTTCCCCCTCGTCAAGTCGTTGCTGGAGAAAGACCAGGACGCAGACGACAAGGGCAAGAAGAAGAAGGGGAAGGGCAAAGCCGGCCCCGAGAGGAAGAAGCCGTGCCCGGCGTACGTGCTCTGGCTCAAAGACCAGTGGACCGAGGTGAGATTCACCGCCCCCAAATCAGCCCGGTTCGTCATCTTTCTTGTTTGCCCACCAGGCGTTTGACGAATTGTGTTGCCCTTGTCGTTTCCAGGTCAAGGAGGAGAACCCTGAGGCCGACTTCAAAGATGTGTCCAGCACGCTGGGCGCCAAGTGGAAGGCGCTGAGCGCCGAGGAGAAGCAGCCCTACGAGGAGCGGTACCGTCAGGAGAAGGAGGCCTACCTGCAGGTGGTCGGCCAGGAGAAGCGCGAGGCCGAGGCGATGAAGCTTCTCGAGGAGCAGCAGATGCAGTGGACTGCCAAGGAGCTGCTGGATCAGTACCTCAAGTTCAGGCAGGAGGCCGAGGAGGGTGACTGCAACAAGGGGAAGAGGAAGAACAGCAAGAAGGACAAGGACCCCTCTAAGCCCAAGCAGCCCATGTCGGCCTACTTCGTGTACTCGCAGGAGAGGCGCGCCGCGTTGGTCGCGGAGAAGAAGAACGTTCCTGAGGTGATGGATTTGCTTAGCTATAACATCTCTATTGTGTCGATGCGTGCTCATTTGTGCTGATGTGACATTATGTATGTTCCTGTAGATTGGCAAGATCACCGGGGAAGAGTGGAAGAACATGACAGAAGCTCAGAAGGCTCCCTATGAGAAGGTTGCGAGGAAGCAGAAGGAAGAGTACCAGAAGCAGATGGAGGTGTACAAGCAGAAGAAGATTGAGGTGTGAAAACTGTACAGAATGTGCTTCTACTATTTGTTTTTTTGGGTACTGAAGGATAAATGTCTAATGTGGAGCTTGTGACTTGTATCAGGAAGCTGCGAGCCTTGAGAAGGAAAAGGAGGAGCATAACAAAATCATGAAGCAAGAGGCTCTCCAGCTGCTCAAGAAGAAGGAGAAGGCAGATAATATCATCAAGGTATTCTTGAAGATCCACTTGCCTGTCCACTGACCAAATTTCCGAAGAAAAAACATTGCATACAAGCCATGCTGATTTTGACCACTGATTTTTGAACAGAAAACCAAAGAACAGCGCCAGAAGAAGAAGCAGGAGAACGCTGATCCCAACCGGCCCAAGAGGCCAGCCTCTTCCTTCCTTCTTTTCAGGTTTAGCACAAATCCCAATTTTGGTACCGATTGCTGTAACATGATACCATTTGTGGGCTGAATCACCTTGATTTCTGTAATTTTCAGCAAGCAAGCGAGGAAGCAGCTGCTCGAGGAACGCCCGGGCATCAATAACTCGACCCTGAACGCGCTCATCTCGGTGAAGTGGAAGGAGCTGAGCGGTGAGGAGAGGCAGGCCTGGAATGCAAAGGCCGCACCTGCCATGGCTGCATACAAGAAGGAGATGGAGGAGTATACCAAGGCTCAAAGCTCATCTCCTTGACAGAATAACTAATTCCTGCGAGTGAACTTTGATTATAAGGATTCTCATCTCTGAATCCTGGTGTGGTAGATGACTTTGTGTGATCGTTAGCTTTTCGTCACCTTAGTTGCAATCAATTTAATAAACTTCAGCATTTGCTTTAGTGGCAGTTTATATGGTTGCCCCACAAATTGAGTAATCTCAGCAAGTTCCGTAAGAGTTGCTTCAGTTCTGATATTTGGCTCATAATTTACCAAGGTGAACTGGTAGTATAGACTAACAATAATGAGTGACGTAACTCGTTTATATGCTTGCTTCAGTTCTGATATCTGGTGGTTCAGTTAACTTTTGATGGGCACTGGCAACTATACTTTGTATCATGTAGACAAGATAACTAGGTCTGTTTGGCATGAAATATTTTCACCACCGAAACCATCAAATAGCGAATTACTGTGCACAGGGAGCTTGCGATCGAAAGATGATCCTGCAAACAAAATAAATTATTTTGGCACAAAACTCAACAATCTCTTCTTGAAACCTCTCTTAATTTTTGTTTTCTATGAACCTTGAACAAGTACTTAATTTTCAGATTTATAATAAATATGATGCATCAAAAGCCTATTTTCTTCAGCGCTCACGAGCCATTCTACCGGTTCACTCATGACATGACAAGAGGATGTATCTGCATCCATCCAATTCGGTCGCCTGATAATGATATGTAAAAAGGCTATACATCTTGTGAAACGAAATCATTTGGCAGAGTACAGGGCTAACTAGCACTTTACATGACCCACTTGAGCAAGATCACTGTGATAACTTCGAACTTTAACGGTTGAGCAATTAAACAGGAAAGTGGGATAAAAAGTTCCATATACACACGAAGGCTTGCTTTACTTAGCCCGTACGAACAATCAACAGCAGGCTTCTGCCCTCGATCACACGGCAAAAAGTGTACACCAGCATGTGAGCAAATAAAGAGAACCGCCCAGCTTACAATGGCCACTGGTATGGGATAAACATGAACATGAACTAAAAACACCACATTATCAGTGAAATGGTGATGTCAGAATAAGAGAGTAAGGCCCTGTTTAGATCCCACCTAAAATCCAAAATTTTTCAAGATTCTCCGTTACATCAAATCTTGCGGCACATGCATGTAGCATTAAATGTAGGTAAAAAGAATAACTAATTGCACAGTTTGTTTATAATTGACGAGACGAATCTTTTAAGCCTAAATAGTCGATAATTGGACAATTTTTGTCAAATACAAACGAAAGTGCTACAGTAGCCAAATGCCAAAAGTTTTCGCATCTAAACGGGGCCTAACTTGTAGTACTGCTAAAATATCACAGCAATGGATCTCTTTGTGGTTTTGAAAACCTTTTTTTTTCTTTTCCGTGGAAGCTCTCATCAGCCTGTTCGCTTGTTGGTTTCAGCCAGGGCTTATCAGCCAGCCAACAGTGTTTTTCTCTCACAACAAACCAGCACCAACCGGGTTTATCAGTCCAGAAACCAACCAGCGAACAGGCCGCATATTTAACCTTGATTTGTTCAATTTTCCTGCTCCACAAGCCGAATTCCCTAGTTGTCGTGGCAAAATCTGTTACCGATGTACACAAATTCGACAATTGGCGAACAAACAAGATTGACTTCAAATTCTCAGTACACAAAACTATAGATTTGGATTCTCTTCGTCACTGTACATTAGGCGTCAATCTGTATTGACGTCTTGAGTTTGGAGCCTCCCGTCCGATAATAGACTTTGAGACGCATGGTTGGGGATAAGGCCGGGATTCCGACCTAAACAATGGGTGCCTCGCCGATCAGGCGATATGATCAACGATGGCAAGCGCACACTTGCTCCCTCCAAAGTCCAAACCCAGCAGCGTTGTACCGGATCCATCGGGAGGTGAGATGAACGGCGGCGGCCAAGGAAAGGAGCGGCGCCTTCCACGACGACGACGCGCGTGAACTGAGGCAGATTCACAGTGAGCTTGCGTGCTCAGCCATACGTGCGTGCGCGCTGGCGCTAGACGAGGACCTCGACGTGCACGACGGTGGCGGCGTCGGGTGGGCCGACGAGGAACCGCTCGGACTTGGCCTTGCGGAGCACGGCGGGGTCGGGGACGATGACGACGTCGGGCGTGCCCTCCTCCTCCTCCTTGGAGCTGTCGTCGTAGTCGTAGTCCTCCTCCGGGATGGAGGAGAGCACGCCGGCCCACGACGACGACCCCGCGCCGCCGTAGCTGTAGTAGTAGCAGCACTCCTCCGCCGCCGCCGACGCCGGCCTGAGGCGGAGCACCTTGATGAAGAGCTTGTGCAGCAGCCTCGGGAGCCCCGCGCGCTTCTTGTTGTTCCGGGCCCCGTCGGCGGCCGCCAGCGCCGGTGGCACGGCTGGGAACCACGGCATGATCTGTCGTCGTCGTCGGATGTACTCGATCTCCTCTCCTCTCCTGCAGGACCGGGCCGGGGTTGGCTGCTGCTACCTTATACACTAGTTAGGCTTTGTGATGGATCGATCGAGCTCGATGTATCGTGTATCTTTCGGCGTTAGTTCACTTGGCTGTCGTCTGTTTAGGCCGTGTTTTTATACTCGTGTATGTGTACTTGCGAGTTGGAAGTTGCATGCGGCATCATGATAAGGCAGAGTAGCAGGAGGACGAGGGGATGCATTTGCATGCACGCATGAAGCTTTACAGGTGGTCCAAGGTGTGTGGAAGGCTTGCTCGTCTTTGCAGTGTGTGGTGGTGGACACGGCGACGACGACGACGAACGAATCAGCGAGCTGGCTGGCCGGGCAGTGTCATGCATATGCATGCATGCTTGTCACGGACTATGCAGCGGCATCAGCCAGGCGCAGTTGATGGCGGCGTGGGGTTAGCTTAATCGCACGGCCTAGGTCGGCGGAGCAGCTCTCATCTCACCGGTTTAGAGAGGCCGCGCGCCGGCCAATCATCGACCGACTGCCATGGATTACATATGCAGTGACATAAATAGGACGCCATGATGACACACTGCTGTGCTAACACGAATCATAAAGTACGTCGAAAATGATTCTACTTCTCTTCTCGCTATACCTTTTTTTTTTCTGGATCACGCAAAAGGTTTACACGTCTTTATATTAAGTTAGAGAAAAGTTTAATACAACACGTCTTAGCGACGCTCTAGGGGGTATAAGAGTTATACATGGACACTTAAACCCACCGTAGTATACTGAAATCTATCCTCTCGGTATACTTGTGCTCTATATGTGTACCTTTTCTTTCATATTAAGGAATTAGAACATGGGAGAAAAGTTAAATACATCTGATAACGACAAGGTACTATACTTTAATTGGGAAACCCAGCCTCATGACAAATAAAACCCAGTATATATAAAAAAGAGGAATGCTATCCAACACTCGAGTGTTGGAACACTCGATTTTTTTTCTTCTCTTATCTCCCTCTCACGTTCCCTAAATCTGGCAGGCTTATTAGAAGGGGCTTGGATGCTTCTTAATGAAATACACGTGAAGTCATGTTCTCGAAAAAATGAAGGGGCTCGGGGGAGGGCGACAAGGCGGTGGGGGCGGCGGGAGGGTGACTGTTAGGGTTCCGGCGACGTAGGAGGCGGCCGGGCCAGGTCGAGGCGGGGACGCCCATGGCCATGACGACGGCGTGGAAGGGGGAGTGTAGGTCTTGCCGGAGCTTCAAAGCCGTGGCCGTGGCGGCGAAGCTCCGGCGAGACCCTACCGAGCTGTGGCGGGGAGCTGGGCGGCAGAGCGTCGAGAGGAGGAAGAAGACGTGAAGAAAAAAAATCAAGTGTTGGAAGAGAAAAAAACGCTCGAGTGCTGTATAGAAGAGACCCCCGAACATTCTGCTTAGGGCAGAAGACCTCTTACGTAAATCGAGAAAATCCTCGAACCTCATGCCCTGTCCATACACAGCGGCATCATTGTCCTACGAGAGCCAGTCCTTAGACTTGGACGCGGAATAGTCGAGATTTTTTTTACCTCCGTCCGACCATCGTGCCCCATAGAGGATTGAACCCGAGTCACTAGGATGCTACTAGAATGCCTTGACCATCCGGTCTATGAACCGTTCGCACAATCCAGTGCATATGACACCACGAAGAAAATAACGATGGTCACTTTCGATCAGCACATGTACCACAGCTACTGCAGGAGCAGTTCTACTATATACTTTAGAAAATTCTCTATGTAGCATCAGAAATATGACATTGTTACTTATTTAGTATTGAAAGATAAAATTTCCGCAATATAGCATTGGTTCGTTTTTAGTACTCTATATAGCACTGCGTTAGGCTGTCTCCAACGGGAGACACATTGCGGAATCCAAATTCAAAATGGGTCTTCAACATAATACCTATAGTCTCCAACAAAGTACCTATATGAAAGACCCATTTTGGATGCCGGGAGAGGCATAACCTAAATATGAGTATTCTCTCACCTGGAGACCCATTTGCAGAAAGGGTTGTCTTTTGGGTCTTGTTGTTGGAGAAGACCAAAAATATGTATTGAACCCTTTCCTGCAGCACTACCCAAAGGACGAATGAGTCTTATATTTTGGGTCGCGGTTGTTGAAGACAGTCTTAGATGTGGCCTCTAACACCATCAACTATGAGAGAAAAAGACCATTTTATCCCTGTTTCATGTATAGCACCATCAACATGTTAACAGTGATATTTGTATTGCATAGATTTTTTTGACAGTACCATTTTCTTACATTGAACATTTTTTGACGGTACATTTTTTTTCTGCTCATAATTCTTCAGAAAATTATATTGTCATAAATAATCTATGCAAAAAATGGCAATGCCAAAAAATGTTCATGGACTAAAAAATTTGTATTGGTTAAAAAATGTTCAATGCCAAAAAATAGTACTGTTTTGAAAATCTATGCTATTAACATTCGGATGTGGTTGCACATGAAGCAAGGGTAAAATGGTCTTTTCTGCTGAGTTTGACGGTGTTAGAGGCCAAATATAACAATATTGTTATACAGAGGAAAAAAAATGAACCCGATGCTATATTAGGAACTTTTTATCATTCGGTGCTAAATAAAGAACCATGTCATCTTCTGATTCTAAATATGGAATTTTCTTATACTTTTTAATACCCGATTGTGCTAGGTCAAAATTCTAAATCGACGATTAAGAGAATCAGGAGCAATCAAAACGCTTGACGCGATTATCTTTTTTTTTTTCACCGAGAATCGATTTATATATAAGCGGAAATAAATAAGGCCATAGTGCGTGTTTAAGACTGCGTTTTCTGCGGTAGCGATCAAAGAAGCGAAGAATCACGATAAACGTCCAGCGCGCGCGGACTATTCTTTTCACCACAAACAACATCGGTATCGCAAAATGAACTAGTAGCTTCGACGTTTTCCTACCCGAGCACAAACTCGATGCTCGTAGAAGCAGTTCCAAACATTCCGCCACCGCGGTAACACCGACCGGCCCCGAACCCCAACCGGCCCAATCGAACCCGGAACCCGCACGCGACGCCGACCGCAGATCCTTCGTCTCTTTCTCCTCCCAGCCCTCCCCCCATTGGCGAATCGACTGAAACCCTAACCCTTCTCCTTGCCATTCCCCACCCATGGATCGCGACCGCTCCTCACGCCGCACTCGCGACGACGACGGGCACCACCGATCCCGCGACCGGGACGACGACCGACACCACCGCCGCAGTCGCCACGACACCGACGCTCACCACAGGCGCGACGGCGGAGACGAGGATCGCCGCCGCCGCCACCGCGACAAGGACGGTGGCGGAGGCGGCGAGGATGACCGCCGCCACCGTCACCATCACGACAAAGACGACAGCCGTAGCCACCGCTACCGCGACGGCGGGGACGACGACCGCCGCCGCGGGAAGCGACGGTCCGTTTCCCCGTCCGAGTCCCCGCCACCCTCGCCGAAGCGGGACCGCTCGTCTAGCCGCCCGCGGGAGTCCGTCGAGCGCCGCGACTCCACCGACCGCGAGCCGCGGTCGTCGTCGCGGAAGCGGAAGGGCCACGAGGGCGGTGGCGACGGGGACGAGCCCGGCCGCGAAGGGGGAAAGCGGGTCAGGGCATCCGTAGATCCGCCTCCGCCCAAGGAGGAGAGGCCTAGGCAGGAGTGCCGGAGGTTTGAGGATGTCGATGCGATTGGGAAGAATGGTGATGTGAGTAAGCTGGGTAAGGAAATCTCATCTCATGAGCAGAAGAAGGGGGAGCTATCAATTAACGAGGATTCACAGAATGGTGATACGCGTAATGTAAGTGTTATTACAGTTGCTGAGTTCCGTTTATTGTGTTTTCATGTTGATTACTAAAGCTTGGGCACGAGAATGCTTATGAGTGCTAGTATATCCTTTTTGTCAAGTGAGCGATGGTCTTACTACTAGTTTCTGGGTTATGGAAACCTAGAGAAATGGAATGGCTAGATTATTGGGTCATACTATTTCCTTAGTTCATAGAATATCAGTTCATAATCTGTCATCTGTCTAGAAAATGTTGAAGAGCTTAAAGTCTTTCTGCAGAATCTGCATTTTAAGGTTCATTTCTGCTCAAGAAGTTTATGACATCTAAAAATTAAGTGGTATTGCTTGAATGTCTCCTTGTGAAAATATCTTAGGAGATTAACAGTTACTGAGCTTGATTTGATTAGCCACTGTTATTACAATGCCAACTTTTGCCCTAGATTCAGTAAGAATAAGGCAGCTATGGCAATGCTTCCTAAGTCATAATTATGACTGTTTTGTGCTGTCATAAGTCTATAGTATGCTTTGTTTGACACTTATCAGTTGGAAGTATGGTGCACTTATGCAGCTTTTCTTATTATTGTAAATAAATTTTAACATGCTACTCAGCAGTCAAGACTTTAATGCAGTCCCCTATTGGTTCATGTTTGCCCAGTGATGGATAGTATAGTTATATTTTTGAGGAATCGAAATTATGTTTTAAATATGAAGTTGTTTGAGGAATGTCATAGTATTTTTGCCCATGCTATAATCTGCCTATTGCCTACAGATGCTACTTTTGCATTTGGTCGTAGTCTCTTTACTCTCGCAAGGCTGTGGTATTTAAAGTGAATGCCTGTTAAAAATTGTTCATTTTGATATGCTAAGTCATATGCTGGCCAGGATTTGAAGATGCACTAATTTTTTGTGTGCTTTGGGCTATCCTGCACATTCCACTTGACCATTTTGTTAGTACTTTTTTTTGGATGCGTTTGTTGTATTCTGTGTCTTTTTTTAAGTGCCATGTATTTTGAGACAAAATTGATGATTCATTATATTGCTATTGTTTATTTCTCTGTATGACTTCTCATCTCATATTTTGCAGGCTGGTTCTCAGCAACCGCTCAGTGCCGTTTCTGTGTCATCTTCTGTCCCCGTTCCTTCAAAGGTATCGTCAATTTCT